TTTTGATATGCACTTAACAAAATTCTTTCTATTTTATATTTTAGAATAATTTCAATTTAATTTAAATATTTTATTGTAGTAAAACGAATTGGATTGACGTACTTCATTGTTGATGAGGATATACCTAAAATTTGAATTATGATTAGAAATATTCGAATTTCATAACTCTCAACTCAAGCATGAAAATGTGTTTATGTTATGTCGTCTCAGTTAAGCAACTTAATTAACAGCTAAAACCTTTTTAAAATTTCAAACGTGATTAGTTTTAAGCATGATTAACATTTCTCTAAGTGCAAACTATTTAACACGGGCAAGAAAATCGTATTTTAAGCCCACTTCGAAGCGAAGACAAGATCTAGATATACTAAATATTAGAGACATTTTTATATAGAGCACAATAGAAATTGACAGTGGGGCAAAATTTGCTTTCACAACTAACAATAAGATCAATTTCAGAATGCGTGGTTTTCTCGGGAACTCAGGAATTTAATTTCAATTAACATAAAAATAATTTCAGGAAAATTGATAACCATATTCAAAACTAAAAACAATCAAAAGAAATATATAAGATAGTCTATTGTCTAAGATAGTCTTAATAAACACTTAAAAGGGAGCTAAAATTTATAATCAGGTCTTTAACATGAACTTGCCCGATAAATTTGGAATGATGTTCAGATTCAAAGGATATTAGGCTTTGCCTATTTCATGTAACATCATCACATTTATATATAGAGAACTATATGTATGCCTTCAATAGTTGATAACTGAACTCTAGTGATCATATTTCGACTGCAGACAGCCGTAAGACTTAGTCATACTCTTAAATTGATGATAAATGGAGGCGATGCCATGATCTTTGCACTGCAAGAATTTTGATTTCAATTGAATGACGATCGTGTCGAACAAGAAACAAATCGCTTCATTTTCCAGCAATTGCCAGCAGCGACTTGTTGACACGGGTCAATCTCTTTATGCGATGACCTCATAAGGCAATCAACCAAATTATTTGCTGCACTTAACAATTTTCTAACCACGGTAAACCCAACCAGCCCCGGGTTCAAGTCTTCGCTGTGTGCGTGCATGTGTGTGTGTGTGTGTGTGTGTGCGGTGCACGAGAGCAAGTTTAATGAATTTATTTGAATGTTGGACAAATTGTGCACGACGGGCAAATTTACGAGCCTGTTTGCTAGCTCTTTGCTTTTACGTTGTATGTTTGTTTGAGGCAGGGGTTACGGGGGGCAGAACGTTGAGGGGGATACGGTCATGGGCACATGCCACACGGGCCAAGTGGAAGGGGGGCTCTCTGATGTGTGTCAGTTTTCCATTCACTTTGTACTCGTACCTTAGATATTAATTGCTGCTGCTGCCGAAGACAACAGTGAAGACATTGTTGGCCTTTCTACAGCAACGGCCCCCCGCACAGCCCCCTACGGTTAGTTAGCTTTTAGTGTACAGTGAACGCTCGCAAATTGAAACTAAAACTGACTTATAGTATAAACAATAAATTTAAAATATTTTTATGCCATCTCTGCTTTTTATTTTAATCTTAAGAAAACCATTTCCTGCATTTGGAATTTTTTTTTTTGTGAATTACAACTAAAACTAAAGCTTTTCAATTTGCGAGCTTTTACTGTATTAGTAGGCTATATGACTTACCATTAGTGAGCGTTGCCGTTAACAGGCATGTCAGCAGTGCGCCAAACAGCTGGCGCTGGAACTTTAGCCTAAAGCGGGTCTGGAACGGGCACATCATTTTCACTGTCGACTGCACTTTCCTGGCCTAGGCTAGACGAAGATATGTAAGTGTGTGTGTGCGTGTGTGTGTGCGTGACTACGACGCTTTCGCTCGTTAACAATTGAAATAGAAGCAGTTGCTATTGTTGTTGCTTTTGTTGCTGCTGCTGCTGCTGCTTCTCAAGTTCAACACTAGCTATGCGACGGCGTGCAAAGATCACGACACGACTTGGATTGCGTTGCGTTAAAGAAAGTTTTTTACAGTAGCTCCAAGCAACGCCTGTGCAAGAGAACTGCTGCAGGCTGCCAGCTGTGGCAGAGGCTCAAGCTCTAGCTGACGTCGACGTCGACGCTGACGCTGACGTTGATGCTGGCGTCGCGGCCAAAGCTAAAATTAACGGTTATCGTCTTGTGGTTAGCGTTTGGCTCATTTGGATTTAGCGCCTGGGCCCTTTTATGAGTTAAATTCGCTGCCTATTAAACATTAAGCGACGCTTTGCGGTTTTTTTTACGCCGCAATTACGCAAAAGCTCTAGATAATCTGGTAGCTCGTCTCGGTTTGACCTCTCGCACAATGTAGCATAATTTCTTTTTTATCGCCCTGCCTTTTAGTTGTTTTGTTTTTTGTTTTTTTTTTTTGCACGTTGCTTTAATTCGATTTCAATTACGACTGTGCCTTTTGAAGTTTACCACAGTTACCGTTTGTTCAGTCAGTCGTTCGTTCGTTCGTTCTGCGGTTGCCTTCTGCCTTCCTTTATTCTCTTTGCTTTTCTTTTTATTATTATTGTATGCACACAAAATATCTTTTCATAGTCTTTTGGGGCGGGTACTCGAGTTCTTTTCAGTGCTTTGGCGGTAGTTCGTTACTCTTTTTTCCCGTAAACCGTAACCGTTTGAATTTGATTTTGATGCGCGCTCGTTGAGTTTCGCATGCGAAGTGATCGCTGTGAATGTGGTTGTGTATGTGTGGATGCTGTTGCGCGCGCTGCTGTCGACGTTGACGTTGACGTTACAGCGGCTGCATTATTTATTGCTGTTGTTTTTGTTGCTGCTGCGTTTTCAATGAATGAACATGCACACACACATGCGCACTTATGCTCACACACACACAGGCACACACGAACGCGCGCTTTACTTTTTACACATTCATAAAAAATTGTAGGGTTTGCTTGTTGTTTCTGCTGCCGTCTTTTGTTGCGGGTTCAACTGGGAGACGATTGCAGCTCCAGCTCCAATTTTGTTGGCGACAAAAAATTTTGTTGCGCCGTACCGAACAACACGAGAGAAAGGTTTGAATGACACTCACACTCGAATTTGCAATGCCATTTATATGAGTGAAAGGCAGCCGCAGCGCAGCAGCTGCGCAGCTGGCGTTAGTCGGGCGCCGCACAGTGGGGAGCTTGGAATATGGAAAATTTTTTCTTTTATTGGTTAAAGGGTGTTATTAATTATAAAGGCTAAAAATAATTGTTAATTGATTATTGGTACAGCTTATTGGTAATAAATATGTTCATAATTATAAAAAAAATTTGAGTTCTTTGTTGAATTTATATATTTTGTGTATATTGTAACTAGGTGGCGTTTCATTAAAATAATTTTATTTTTCTTTAATTACAGTATCAAAAGCAAATGTAGACAGTAAACTTAACTATCAATCTGAAAATCGAAATTGAAAAACCTTTAAAGATAAAACAATGGAAAACAGGAAGTTTTTACATGACCGACAATTGTTAGCTTTTTGCTGCCAGCTGGTCACACTGTGCGCCAGTGCGACGTCTTCGCAGTCGGCAGAGTGTGGGTCTTTGGTAGCATCGGTTTTGGTTGCGCTTAGCCATTGATTAAATGGAGTTGTCGGTATTTAAAATAACAACTTGGTCATGTTGTCTGCAACCTAATCGGTTTTGCGTACAAATTTAATTTGCCAAAAGTGGCAGCAAAATGCAACCAAAAAGGCGAACCGCATTTGAAATTATAACACACACATAGCATAGGCCCGCTGCCGCCTATAGGCAACATCTGTGCAGGCGGACTAGCGGACTGGCGGGGGGAGGGGTGGTCGTTTCGTCGCCGTAGAAAGTGCGCAGCCGCGCAGTTTGAAGTTGGAGTCGATGCCGATGCTCAAAGCCACAGACTTTGCTAGCTGGAAGCTGTGTTTATAGACTTGTCGACTTTTAAGCCATAAATTTTACGCCTGAGTGGCGTTGCGAATAAGGGTCACACACACACTCACACACACACAGACATACATGTATACCAATAGATACTGAAGCTCGCACATGAGCTTTGGCGGAGAGTCGCGTGCATAAAGAAAATTGAGTGGTGCAGCGGTGCAGCCGGCAGCCACCGCCTCCGCCGCCGCCGCCACCGCCGACGTCGCTGCTTAACGGCAAAAAAGAGGTCAGTAAGTGAACGTTTACAGTTAGTTTTTGGGCACCCAGACATGTAAGCGGCAAAATGCATTTGACAGCCGTGACACAGCAGCCACGGCCGCCCAGAACTAATGCTGCAGACCACCACTTTAAAAATTAATTAAAAGAAAGCCTGGCGTCTAACGCTGGAAAAAACCTTTGGCAGCATTGCAATTTCTTTTTGGCCATAACCAAGATTTGATGTCGTCGTCGTTGCCGTCGTCGTCGTCGTTGTTGTGGTTGTGGCTGTGCCTGCCAATAAAATGGAAAGTGAAAATTGTAGCTGCACTGCCAATGCATATTAAAAACAAAAAAAATAACACAAAAAAGTGTAATAAAAAAGATAGAAGCAAACGCAGCAGCATGGCAATAACAACGGCCACGCACCTGTTCTGCAGGTCGTGCGAGTTTTCTACGCTCTAATCACAGGCTTCCACAGGCCTGCGGCACATAGAAACAGCCCGAGTATTATATAAAAGTGATGATAGTGCGGGCCGTGTAGTAAAAGCGGAAATTATATGGCAGAATGGCAAAATCAAAAGTGGTTGTTGTGAATGCACTTGTGAAAATCTGCCATGAAATGCCAATTTTGATTTGATGAGCCACTAGCATGCATCGTTATTTGCCGATTTTCTCCGTTTCTAGTTTTTACCAATGTTATGCTAATTTTGTTGCAAATATATGCCCAGCTTGTTATCGTATTTTTGAAAAGTAACAGTTCACGCACTGCAGTCTTCAATTATTTGGGGCAACACTGGCAACACAAATTTGCGCTGCTCTCAGATTTTGCAGCACTGCATGCAGAGTGGCTGAACACACTTATCGATATTAGTGAAATCATCGATAGTTATGTTTAACATCGCTACTCACACACACACGGGCACACACATGTACGCACACAGCCACACTCATTGAAAAAGTCGGAGAATTGTGTGGGAAAAAATATCGTCTATAACTAACTACGAAACGCGCAAATTGTGCAAATGCGGATGCCCAGTAGCAAAGGCAAAGTGAACGTTTGATAATTGTGGGTGCGCTGGCTGTTTGGGCAGCTGAAAATTCATGTTGTCGCTGTAACGCAGCGCAGTGAGTGTATGTGTGTGCATGTGCGTGTGTGTGTGAAGAGTGAAACCTACAACTTTACTCCCCAAACCAACAGCCACACCAACAACAACGACGACGACAACAACAACAACAGCAGCAGCAGCGCAGCAGTGTTGAGAGAAAAGATGGCGACGAGTCGCACCAGTCGCATACAATCACAACCAAAAATTTTTCCTTCAATCTTTTCTAAATTACATGGAGCCATCTCAGAGGCATGCGTCTCACAGCGTCTATCGACGGACAAGAAGACGCTGGAGAAAACGTGGAAACTGATGGACAAGGTGGTCAAATTGTGTCAACAGCCGAAAATGAATTTAAAAAACAGTCCACCCTTCATATTGGACATACTGCCCGACACGTATCAGCGTTTGCGTTTAATATATTCCAAAAACGAGGATCAAATGCATCTGCTGCACGCCAACGAGCACTTCAATGTCTTCATCAATAATCTAATGCGTAAATGCAAACAGGCCATCAAATTGTTCAAGGAGGGCAAGGAGAAAATGTTCGACGAGAACTCACATTATCGCCGCAACTTGACCAAACTTAGTTTGGTCTTCTCACACATGCTCAGCGAGCTAAAAGCTATCTTTCCCAACGGTGTCTTTGCGGGCGATCAGTTTCGAATCACCAAGGCGGATGCAGCCGATTTCTGGAAGAGTAACTTTGGCAACAGGTAAGGGACACTCTTCAATCCCAACCAACATTCAGTAATAAACACTATTATTTCCAGTACATTGGTGCCTTGGAAAATATTCCGTCAGGAGCTGAATAAAGTGCATCCGATATCGTCAGGGCTGGAGGCGATGGCCCTGAAAACGACCATAGATCTGACGTGCAATGATTATATATCGAATTTTGAATTCGATGTATTCACGCGTCTATTTCAGCCGTGGGTCACATTGCTGCGCAACTGGCAAATCCTGGCCGTCACCCATCCCGGCTATGTGGCCTTTCTCACCTACGACGAGGTGAAGGCGCGCCTGCAGCGCTACATACACAAGGCAGGCAGCTATGTATTTCGTTTATCCTGCACACGCCTCGGCCAATGGGCCATTGGCTACGTGACGGCAGATGGGGAAATATTGCAAACAATACCGCAAAACAAATCGCTGTGCCAGGCGCTGCTCGATGGTCATCGGTAAGGAATATGATATCCGGCTTAAATGCTGCTTCGTTAAATGTGCTTCTGTTTTGGTAACTGCATGCACATGTATTAGTGAGCTTTTAGCTATGCTGCATACGCTGCGCTTTCAGCTTGCACCGCGTGCACGTCCGCGTGCCTCATCTTGTATTTATTATAGAAAATATTTGCGCCTACCTGCTTCTATTTCCTGTTTAATTTGTAGTTTCTTGTAATTAATTGTAACTGTTTTTTCTCTGCCTTTAGCGAGGGCTTTTACTTATATCCCGATGGCCAGGCCTACAATCCGGATCTGTCGTCTGCCGTGCAAAGTCCAACCGAGGATCACATAACGGTCACACAAGAGCAATACGAGCTGTACTGTGAAATGGGTAAGTTTGCAATTGAACGCTGCCCGTTAACGAAACTTAAATACTCTCTCTTTTAACACCCTCACGCGCTTGCAGGCAGCACCTTTCAGCTATGCAAAATCTGCGCAGAGAACGATAAGGATATACGCATCGAGCCCTGCGGTCATTTGCTGTGCACGCCCTGTCTCACCGCCTGGCAGGTGGACTCGGAGGGACAGGTAAGCGGACCGTGTAAAATTCATTTAAAAAAAACTAAATTCTAATGCGCTTTATGCTGCAGGGCTGTCCATTTTGTCGTGCGGAGATCAAGGGCACCGAACAGATCGTTGTGGATGCCTTCGATCCGCGCAAGCAACACAATCGGAATGCAACGAATGGACGACAACTGCAGCAGGACGATGACGATACAGAGGTATAGTTTAGTGCAGCGCTTATCAAAATAAAGCCTTTTGACGCCTGCCCCGCGCTGCCCGCCTGTGCTGCCTCTCTCTTATACATATATATATATACATATACATATAATCTTATTACGTTAACATATATATATCAAGTTTGGTTCGTTTATATATACATTTATATATATATATATAGATAGACGTTCTACTATATATTAAGTTTAATGTTTAGCGATTTTGATTTAAATTATTAGCTACAATTTTCATTGCAACTAACAGCAGTGCGCACACAAGACGACGAGCAACAAACCAATTGTAGAGTAGTGTTTAATATGTATGTATATATGATGCATATGCTTGTATGTATTTATTTATTTATGTATTCATGCGCGCTGAGCGGAAGTTACTCATCAGCGGCTCGTTTTTTTTTTCTTTTATCAACAACGCTCGCATCTATCAGTTTTGTCTGTGCACTCTGTTTCGTTGTTTTGTTTCGTTTTGTTGATTGCTTCTTTCCCTCCTTTCTTTCATTCGCTCGCTCGCCTCTGTTTATGATTCATTTGAATAGTTTGTGTTATTATCATCATATGCGCGTAGTACATGCAACAATTCTCAAACTCGACTATCATTAAGCAAAAAAAAAAAAAGAAAATTATATAAATATTTGTATTCCCATTTGCCCCCCTTTTAAACTGTTGTAAATATCTAGTTATTAGTGTCATTTTTATTGTACTACAAGCAAAAAAACAAATACCCTGTATTCGAAACCCGTTCTGCCTACAGTATATACCCCCGTCTCCCACTCCCCCCCTTCCATATGAAAACAAAAAACTGATGGTATTTTTTTTAGTTTATGATTTGATACTTCCAAAGATATGTTTAGTTCATGATTTATAATTTTTTGTGTTTGTTTTAGTTTTGCAATTCGGTTTTCATTTAGAGTTTATATATATATATACGATATATAGATATATGTATTTGTGTTTTCTAAGACTGTAATTTATTAATAATAATATTTAAAAACAAAAAACAAAGGCTAAAACAATGGTCGCGGCCAATTGCATATTGTATGTATAATCATCATTAACATAATTATTATTATTATAATTATTATTTTTATTGTAGTTAGCTAGCTCTTAACTGTCACAAGCCTAGGCCAGAATTTATGTAAAACATTTAAAGTATTAGCAAAAGAACATTTAAAAACATTGTGTATGTGTGCGTCTGTGTGTGTGTGTGCTTTCGTTTTTATCATTCATTATTTAAATTTTTTCGGCTCAGCTCGTTTCCTTAACATAGGCCTCAGCATACATCGATTTAGTTTATTTCAATTAATAATTATTTATGTTTTAATTGTAATACACTGCAATTTAAATATATATATATTTATTATATATATATATACATGCAAGTTTTTAGCGTTAAATTTTAATTTTGATTTCCTTAATAAGTTTTTAAATATGCCTAATTCTAAAATGAACAAGAAAAAGTGAACAGCAAAAAAAATATATAATATATATGTGTATAAATATTTAGAAAAATTGGTTTTAATTGTTTTTGGCGTGCTGCTACGTTATTAATTTTTTTTTGACATATTTATTTGGAATAGTTTTATGTTTATATTTTTTGTCTACAGTTATGTTGTTGCGTTGTTGTTGTTGTTGTTGTTCTTGCTCCTTTTCTTTGATCCTTGTTGTTGTGCATGTCCAGCAAACTTTTGACTTGCCGCCTTGTTGCTCTAGGGGCATGCGCCTTCTTAACCAAATCCAAACAGAATATATCAAACCAAAGCCCTGATCTCAACTGACCAGACACAATTCACATCCTGCAGGATATGGGCGACTTCAATATAGCCACCTCGTCGTTGCACGCGCTCAGCACCTCGGCCGCGTCACAGTCCTCCATGGAGAAGCATAGTCCGCACACGTCGCCGCGCCTGGGCAGACGCAGCACCACGCCCAGCCTGATGGCGGTGCAAAACGATCTCTATGCCGGCGGTACGCCAGCGCTCAGCCTGCCCAGCGGCAGCAGCAGCTGCAGCAGCAGCATCAGCGGCGGCTCCTCCTCCACAACAAACTGCAACCAGCAGCAACCGCAGCCCTCGGCGCCGCCTGCTGCGACGGTCATCAGCAATGGCAGCGGCGGCAGCGGCGGCAGCAGCGGCAGCAGCAACAACAGCAGCAGCAGCAGCTCCACGCAGAAGACAACAAATCGGATGAGCGCACCGCTGATTGGCTCCAGTGTGATCAACTCGACCTATGGCCAGAAGTTGCCCAGCAAAACGGACAATGGCTCGGCCAGCGACACGGCCTCCATTAGCTCCTATGCCATACTACAGAATCTGCAGGATGGCGCCAGCTCCAGCGCAACAGCAGCAGCAGCAGCAGCTGGTGGAGGAGGAGGAGGAGGAGGTGCTGTGGCACCGCCGCTGCCGCCGCGCAAATCACCCGGCATGGAGACGCCCGTCAAGCCCAGCAATGCGACACCGTCGAGCAGCAAGAGCATCGACAACATCCAGTGTAGCCTGGACAATGTGCCGCCACAGACCACGGCGCCGCCGATACCGCCGCATGTGAGCAGCAGCGTGGACACCTTGGCGGAGGATTTGATGCGACAGCAGCGCATTGCGAGCAGCACCACGTCGCCGGTGCTGTCGCTGCTGGACGAGATGATGGTCGAGGTGGGTCCGGCGGAGACCATCAGCGGTGTCATCGACACACGTCCGCTGGAGGCGCGCGGCACGCTGCCCGCCAACAACACCAGCAGCAGCAGCAGCAACAACAATAGCAACAACAACAACAGCAGCAGCAGTGGCTGCAGTGGAGCCCAGGATGCGGCCAGTTCGCACTATACGCAACTGTGCACCACGACGACCAGTGCGGCGGCTCTGGCGGCAGCCGCTGCGCTGGCCAATGGCAAGAAGATGACGCTGAAGCAGCCAACGCCAGCTGGGCCGGCAAATGCTGGCCAACAGCCGCTGCTCTATGCGAACGTGACGATCAATCAAAAAGACTGTGCCGGCACTGTGCCCTACGAGAATATCAATCTGGAGTATATTGCGCGCCTGATGAACGCCGGCTACTCCAAGGAGAATGCCATCACGGCGCTGGGCATCTCGCGCAACAACATCGAAATGGCTGGCGATATTTTGCGCGAGTTTGTCTCCAAGAATAGCGTCTAAAACGTGCCACGCCCACCCGCCCCCAGCCGCCCAGTGTGATCCCCGCCCGGAGGAGCAGCGATAGTAACTGTCGCCTGTTGTTGATTATGATTACGATGATGATGATGATGATGATGATGATGATATGATCCCAGAACAAAGCAAAAGGCAGCTGATAAATCATAAGCATAATTTGAAGCTCTCATTACGCTCTCTCTCTCTCTCTCAATCTATATAAATATTTATATATATCTATATATATATATGACTTTCTCCAACTCGCTTTAAGAGCACCTCGCCCCCTTCCACCCCCCCCCTCCCGCCACACACACACACACACCCACTTCATCTAGATTAACGCTAAGTTAGCAGCCCAATAAACACACACACACACACACACGCACACCCATTCTTGGCGTAGCCAGCACAAGCAATTAGGCGTAAAAAATTCGTTCGTTCTCTTTAAAGAAAATATTTAATAATAAAACAAAAATATATATATTTGAAAAATCGTCAAATTCTCACACTATTTAAAGCAAACAAATTAAGCACAGCCCATTTATATCAAATATATAGCTATATAAACACGTATATTAAGACGTATTTACTTCCTATTAAGAAACCAAAAAAAAAAAACGAATTAAAATCAAAAAGCGCAAGAGAAAAACATCTTATATACGCGGTTCTAAACGAAACAAATAATTGCCCACCCCGAATGAACTAAAAATTTATATTATGCTCTCTTACCAAATAAAAGACAAGAACCATAAACACCCCACACACACACACACACACACACACACACACACACACACACACGCACATGCTAATAGCGCCCCAGAGCGAAAAGCAAACAATTTTAATTGGTGCATCGGCAATCATGAGAAAATACACAGAAAGCGTTCCAAAATTCATGCCACACACACACACATTATATACATTATATAAAATGCCTTTGATGCCAATTCAGTGACTTGGCCCTGATTTTCCTTAACCGATTTAGCAATATTACCAAATACAAAGAATAAAAAAAGAAAAAAACAAAAAACACCAAAGCAAATCCGATGCACTATCAAAGTTTACCTCGATTTTTTATACAAAACTCAATGTTTTTTGTAATAGTATATTTGTAAGTTTATGCAATTAAAATACCGGAGCCGAAATTCGTTTTAAAAAGTAAATAAAAAAAAGAGAAATAAGGAAAATACAAAGAGAGAGAATCAAGGAATACCCAAGTTTGTATTACGGATAAACCATTTTTACAGAATTTATATATATATATATATATATTATATTGTATAATGCAATTAATCGGTTTTTTAATTCGTCAAAAAAGTTCTTAACCCCACACGCAATCTTTTGACATTTAGTATATCTACTAAAGCTAAGCGATATTACGATATATATATATATAGGCGATATAATCATGCGTAAACGAAAGCAAAGGCATAGAAAAAAAAACAAAAACAAATCAAACAAATCGAAAATCAATGCAATATTCACTATAAACAAATCAATGCAAGCGTAAACTTATAAGTAACATATAATTAAATAACATAACCTCAAACGAAACGAATAAACAAAATACTATTTATGAAATATTTGAATTTTAAGAAAACATCAGCGTTAAAACACAAAAGAAAAATCAAGAATAGAGCATAGCGAAAAAAAAAACAAATAGGAGTCTACAGTCAATAAAAATTAAAAAAAAAACAAATACAAACAAAAAGCAAATCGAGTTTTAAGGAGCGTCAAAATGCGATACCATACCATAGTCATGTCATGTAACCCGGAAATCTTAAGCAGATATAAATTATTCTTATAAATAAATATATTAAAAAAAAAACAAACAAAAACAAAAAGAAACCAAAAACAAAACAAACATCTTGTGTTTTGTTTTTTTTTTAGCAAAGGGTTTTCATGCTTAAATAATGTATAGTTAAAGAAATTGCCCGGCGTTGAACGACCGCAATTAATAAGCTCGTCTTCAAGCAACTTTTATCCCCACCGAAAATTCGACCCAAAATTTCTTCTGTAAGCAGACATTAAAGTTAAAGTTCCCCTGAAGCTCTGTAAATGTACGTATCTAATTTTCTATTATTATTTCTTATATATTAATCTATTATAATTTCCCAGTTAAACACAATTTTGTTTACCTTTATTGAAATATGTATTTATTTTTTTTATTATTTGACTTATATAGTTTGCGTTTTTTTTTTGTTGTTTTTCTTTCGTATTCAAGCACATATGTATTTGTTTTTGTTTTTGTTTTTTTTTGTATTTTTTTTGTTGCATTTTTTGTTGTGTATGTTTTACGATTTTTTTATGTTTTATATTTTATAAATAAGGATTAGTTGCTGTTCTGTTTTGTGTCTGTGCTGTTCATTTCATTGCATTGCATAAATCTCTAAACGCCTGCAGTTAACCTATTGCGGCATATCAGACGATATATATATGTATATATATATATATATATATATATATATATACACTATATATATAATAGCGTTATACATATTTAAAGTTACTATTTTAATCTTGCTTGTTCATTTTGTTGTGTTGCTTAGTGTTTGTTTGTTTTCTTGTTGTTGTAGTTGTATATATGTATAACATGGCTATAGTAGGACGTACTGATCCCAAATTTGTTGTTAGCTTGTTAAATGGTTTTTGTTTTTGTTTTTTTTTTGTTTTGTTTTAGTAATTGAAATTCATAATTTTGTTTCACAATATTTGCTCTTTGTTTCCGACACGATCTCTTTGTATTTTTTTTTATATTTTTTTTGTTTTATGTTTTTATATTTTGTTTTACTATATATATATACTTTAATATTTAAAAATACATTTTTAAAAATTAATTTTTGTTATCTTTCATTAAATGGTTTCAACAGATTTGGCGCAGCAAATTACATTTGCTCTTCTACATCCTCACACAAGACTTTTAGTTATGTTTTCTTTTTGTTAATAATTAATATTATTTTCTTGCTTTTTTTTGTGTGTTAGTTACAAAGTTCGATTTCTAAATATTGTTTTTGTTTTGTTTTTTTTTTTATAAATAATAAATATGTTTTGTATATGTAAGATGTATATGCATGTATGTATGTATGTATGTGTTTTGTATAAGTTAATGCAACCCTTTGAATGCAGCAAAAAAATTCGTGAAACAACAACATACACAGATAATATATATATACTCGATAGAGTGTTTTGGTGTTGAAATGTTACAAACGAAATCAAGACTTTGTTTGCTATAAATACTTCATACTTTCATTTTCCTCTTGTTGTATACAATCATCATAATAAATATATTTGCCAGTTTAACAGTAAAGACTTCAAAGAAGCTATGAAAGAACATTTTGCGAGAATTATTAGAATAGAGTAAGAGAATAGAGCATATATAAGTAGAGAAAAGAAATAACTATCTACGCATCTATGGCATATAGTGTTTTTGTTTGTTTGTTTGTTTACTTTTTGTTATTTGTTTGTCTAATGCACATATGCAAGGATTTCGTTGCCATTATACAATAATTGTTTACATTTTTTTGTATCTCTTAATATGCTATAGATTTCATTTTATATATGCTAAAATTAAATTAAAGCAAAACTAGTTGAAAAATAGTATACGTATACACACAATTTGGTTTCATCTCTCAGACACTTGAATTTCAGTTTTAAGCAGCGCACAACTTCAATATAACAGAAAAAAATACAGACTGCAATTGATTACAATTAGGAGTTTAGGGCCCTGGTTTAATGGTTAATGCGTAAGTTTACGTAAAATTTCGTTTAGTTTTAGCTTTAGTTTTTTTTTTGTAATATTTTCTTATTTTTTTTTTTTTTCGTTTTATATATTTATCAGACACGTAGAAATTGTTTTGGAGTTGCCGTTTAGTATTCATCATAATTATACATATATGTATGTGTGGTGTATGCCATATGTTTTGCTATCAATTATTATTATCGTTTCAAATAGTGTTTTGCTTCTAAGTTAATATACTTAATAAATGTATGCTTGTTTGTATTCATTGATAATATGGTTGTTTAGAGACAAGTTCACAATGTAGTTCTGTAGTTGCGTAATTGTTGTTAATTTATATTTGCAGTTCCTGTGCCATCTTTGTGTATGGTAAGCCTTGTTTATGTGTAGCGTACAAGAATATATATATATATATATAGATATATATGTATATATAGTTGTATATGTGTGTGTGTGTGTATGCATTGTCTTTAATTTGCATCAAATATCTGATTTGGAATTACTCCATAATGGCGCCTGTAAGCAACGAGAATATGAATTTAATACACATTTTAATTAGTTAATTTATTAATTAACGCACCTGGAATGCGTGGATGGCGCGCGAGTATAGAGAAGCCCTTGCCCTGCGGCCCCTTGGGTGCGCGTATCAATATCAAACGCGGCACACCGTCATCGCCATTGAGCTTAAGGCGCGAGATCAGACGATCGGGACGATCGTTTATTTTTAAAACATTGCAAGCCGAAGATTTGCCATTGCGCTGCAAATAGAATGTACGATTAAATAAACTGCCAAATTTAAGCAGAGCTTTAAGCTGTTGCTCACCTGATTGGTAACCACGGAGAACTCGACGGTATCGCCAGGATGTAGAGCCACCGTGTTGCCCTGTACCTCGGACATGTGAAAGAATAACTTCTTGCCGTCTTCGACCTCGAAATTGAGAAAACCAAATTGACCCTTGATGGAGTCGACAGTTGCACGTTTCTTTTGCCGCACCGCATTCACCTCTGCCGCCCGGCCGCTCTCATCGATGCGAAAGCTAACCAGATCGCCCTTCTGCAACAGATCGCGCTTATTCACCAAACTGGTGATGCCAAATTCATGCTGTGAAATGATTGTGGTGCGCTGCTCATCGAGTATCTCAATTAGGCCGGCATATTCCTGCTGGTCCGGATTGATGCAGCGCAATGGACGCGCCACAACGCCATTGTGCACCGTCTCCAGCAACGCCGGCTGCGGTATTGAGTTCTTTGGCAAAGTGCGCACATTCTCAGCGGGCAAGCAATTGCCCGAAACGGAGGTGTTGCCATTTGGCGCCAGTGTATACTCGACCTCCTGACCCAGCTCAAGCCAATTGGGATTGCCCTGATAGTTGCTAAAGTGAAAGAATACCTCCTCATCGTGCGACAGCGTCTCGATGAAGCCAAAATTCTCCTTGATAACGGCTATAAAACCACGATACAACTGCCCGCTAGCGGCCTCAACATTCGCATGATTATTATTCTCCAGCTTAAAGTCCTCAATGTGGGGCGTTGAAATCTGCTGAGTGGTGGCATTGCTACCGACGCTGCTGTTGCTGCTGCTGCCGCCACCAGGGCTGCCGTGCATTATATAACCATTCTGCATGGAGCTGGCATTCGAGCTGATGCCATTTGAGAGCAGCACTTGATCGTTCTGATTTAGATTGGCAACTGGTTGTTGTGGTTGTTGTTGTTGAGCAGCTGTTTGCTGGCTTAAAAGTTGTTGTTGCTGCTGTTGCGCCTGCTGTTGTTGTTGTTGCTGTTGCAGCGATACTTGCTGCACATTGACAGCTATAAATTCCTTGTTACGTTTAACCTGTAAAGAGGGAAGCGGAGCACAAGATTAGATTTTATCGAGAAACGGGTGCAGTCTTTTAACTCTTCAACTCAATTTCAGTTGAGTTTCGGATCAAATAGCATAAATAGATATAATGTATAAGACAGAATGTGTATAGAGGCTGCACTTGCGATTGGGCAGAGGCGCATTTTGTGATGCTGGCAGACAGACAGATCAGTCTCCCTGTCTGTCTGCCTTTTTATCTGTCTGTCTGTCCGTCTACTTGTCTGTCTCCCCGTCTGTCTGCTTGCCTTTCGGTCAGTGTGTTTCTGGCGTCTGTAAGTCTGCCTGTCTTCTTGTCTGCCTTTCTGTCTGTCTATCTTTCTATTTGTCTGCCAGTCTACCAGCCTGTTTTCCTGTCTATCTATATGGCTGTCTGCCTGTCTTATGGCTACACATATAACTTTTATTCCTTGCAAACATAACCCACCATGTAAATATCGAAGCGCACACGCTCGCCAACTCTTGGTGGTTTTTCGCAGTCTTTAAGAAAATACATAATAGTCTTTTTAACATCGCCATGCTCGTAGGTGATGACGCCACCCTCGAAGCGATCCTGAGATTTAATGGGACTCTTGGGCGCCTCGCGTGTCACGGTGCCTGCAACAATAGATAACCAAAATTAGAATTAGGAATTCTTTGGATGGATTTAAGCTCACCCTCAATGTTGTTGGCCATTAGAGTTTCAAATTGCACAGTATTGGGCGGCAAATGTTGAATGCGTATGGCCTGCAGACGCGAGTTGTTATAGGCCAAGCCGGGCTCCTGAATGACAGTAAACTCCACCTCATCATTGACATCGATTTCACGGCTCTGCGGGGAGGGATAATAAGGAGATTATTATAGAAAACGCAACAAAATTTCGTGAGCTAACTAACCGTATCGAGAACCTCCGTAAAGTGGAAAAACAAACGCACTTGACGCTCCACGCAGCGCAAGAATCCAAAGCCCTCCTTCAGTGAGGCAATTGTGCCCTGTTCACGCTTCTCGCCGGAAACCTTGAACGTTTCGTCCAGCAACGCTATGGAGGTGGCACGCTGCAGCTGATCCCGCCGATCGGTAGCCAATAGGAATT